CCTACAGCATTTAAAACATTCGTAGAATATTTAATTCATGTATTTGAGATAAACTGTGAGATTAACCTGAAGTGAATATTATGATTAATTTGGGCGAGTGCATATGTTGTGCTCGCAGCCGCAGCTGTTCTCTTCTGGAGGGAATCAAAAGCCTCCATCTGGTTATTGTAATAGTTTCTGCTCTGTGTGTGTGGATTCTCTTTGATATTGGGTTTCAGAGCCGGTGTTTGTAAACCAAGGGGTTCAGAGGGGGAGATCTGAAGACGCCTGGAATTCCAGGAGCCGTGACAAGCAGCATAAATACAGACTGTCATTTCAAAATGAACGGGGACACCTTGAAAACCGTATCTTCATTTGAACAGTAGAGAAAGAGGAGATTTAAGAAGAGAATGCTGTAATCCACACAAAACTACTGCTGCTTGGCACAGCAGGTACTGCCTCATGGGTGGCAGGAGAGATGCTCAGAGCCTGCTCCTCCCTCTCCCTCAGCAGCTGCCTCCAGGGTCCCTTCTCTGGGCCTGAATACATACGGGTACATTTTTTGGAGTAATAATACCCTATTTCCACTTCTCCCATGTAAATTATAGTCGGCGAGGTGGCACAAGTTCATTACATTGGTGAATTTTATCAATAGAAAGTTAATTTAAAAGTAAACCCTGTTACACCTGTTTCCATCCAGCCCTCCAGAAGCGCCTGTCCTCTGAGCTGCATGTCTGTCAAGAACTCAGTCCTCAGTCCTCAAAAGACATTATTATTAATGTAAAAATCCTGGGCTGGTTAGAGCCACATTCTTTGGCAGAATCACTGCTCTCTGACCCCACTGATAGGAAATATCAGTGGGGCTCCATCAGATTTCCCCCCAGATAAGCAGTGGCTTGGGATGTGCTGGGTGGAATGGATCCCTTGTCCACATTTCCAGTGGAAATTTACACAAGGTCCTTTCTGAAATGTGATGGTTTGAAATTCAGGAGATTCAGAAATTTGAAATTCAGGAGATGAGGGAACAGAAAGAAAAAAAAAAACAATTTCCAGTGGTGATCTTGGAAAGACCCGATGAGTGAAGGAAGGGCCCTGCTCCCCGGCAGGCACCAGCTGCAATCCCCTGTCCCAGGGGCACTGTTTGCTAATGAGTCCCCGCTAATCAAGGCCCCCAAGGTAATTTTTGCTGTATTTGTCAGAGTACCTGGCACTGAAGAATAGCCAATCAGCGAAGCTGTGCCTGAAGGGCAGAGGGGGGCCTTCCTTCAGGTCAGAGCTGAATTGACTTGATTGGAGTGAATTGTTGAGGATCTTTGTGAAACCCTTGGAGTAAACACCCAAAAAAACCATCCAGCGCCCACAGCAGTCAGTGCTGCTTGTCCACTGACAGCACCGCAGCTACGCTGAATAACACCAAATCTGTACCTTCATGCAAGGCAAATATTGATCATTATTTTGAGCCAAAGAACTTCATTCTACTGTTAATACCAACGGTGGGCTCATCTGAGTGACGCAGCCAGGGCTCTGGGTGGCCTTGGAAGAGGCAAAGGGTGAAAAAGGTGAAAGACCTTGAAATAACTTCTCTGTATCTTAGTTTTCCCCGAGGGAAAATGGAGATCCTTGCCCAGGCAGAAAGGGGGTTTGCTTTTTATTCTGTACTTTAAAAACCATGGCTTTATAGCATGAGAAATAAAAGGTCTTCAAGTTCCTTTGGTTTTATTTTCTGGTAGCACAGGGTGGATGGAGCAGCGCTGAGCATCGATTCGGTGCAAAAAAAAAAAAGATGAGTAAAACAGGAATATTGCGGAGATGGGATTATATAAAACATAGAAATCCACCACGCTTTAAACGAGTTTGGTTAAAACTGTCAAAAAAAAAACCAAAACAACTTGGACAAAAATCCATTGTGGTTTATCTGAGCTCAATTAGGAACAGAGAGAAGCCGAAGCAAATGCCCCCCACTGCTGGAAGGAAGGAGCCCCCCCCGGCCACCAGGATCGGACCAGGCTTTTGGGGGCTCATCCCGCCGCCGCCGCCGCCCCCCCCGGCCCTCCCCATCCCTGGCTCGCACCTTCTGTCTTCCTAAATCCGGAGGGAATTCAGCGAGAACAATTCCGATCACCTGTGTCATTACTGAGGCTTAAGGAGCAAAGAGGGTAAATCATTTCTTAATTAGAAGCGGAGGGGAATGGGATGGGGGCATCATTAGGCAAACAAAGCCCAGCCCCCCCGACAATAGGCGCTAAGTAGCCCATTAGCCCCCGCTGAGCGCCGCTGCCCCGGCCTGAGCCGGGAAAAGCAGTTCAGGGGAGACAAAATAAAGGGATTTAGCTGGACCGTATCCCATCTGTCTAAAGATGTGCTAAACTCAGTGGCCAGGCCCCTCAATTAGCAAAGGGGGAGAATTTACATCAAAAATACCCTGCGCTTTTCCCTTCGTCCCCCCCAGCGCTGATCCGCTGTGGGTGCAGGTGCCAGCGGGGACCGCCCTCATCCCAGTTTGTAACTGGTGCCCGATGGAAGCCCTTATGGAAATGGACCTTTGGAAAACGCCTCTCCAGCCCGTGCGGTGCAACACGTCGGTTAGTTCTTCTTTTCTCTCCCAAATTTGAAAAGAAATATTGAACTCTTGAAATACTCGACCTGGATTTCAGCCGCAAGCACTAATTCTAGCTATATATAAAATCCAGAAAATCCTGCTGTTCCCGGTTACCCGCCCCCCCCCCCTTTTTTGGTATCTCAGATTTTCAGTTGTGAATCCCGAGAGGGAGGTGAGGGAGAGGAAGGGTTGCTGCCTCCCAGCACTCTGCTCTTCCTCCCCTGAGAGCCAGGCAGGCCCCAGTCACAGAAACCATTTAGCTTTTCTCTTCCTCGCTGCTAAGCAACTTTTTTTTTTTTTTTCCCCCTTTTCATTCTTGAGGGTTCCCCGGGAACCTCTTGACCTTGTTCCGTTTTATGGTATCAGGAAGGCTATTTTTCTGGTTTCTTGTTTCATTTAAAACTTTCTCCTGGAGAGCCTGCCATTTCTGCTGGAGCTGACAGGAGCTCCGTGGACACCACCGACAGACCCTGCCTGTCAGGTCACGTATTTCTTTACCTTTTTTCCTTCAGAAAATCTACAGCAGAGAATAATCACGTTTTAGTAAAGGAGAGAGCAGCTGATAAACCCATCAGTTCTCTGTTTCTAATGCCCGAGTCCACTGAGCAGGAATTACCCCTTCCTGAGAGCGGGGATGTGCCGCCAGGGGCTGGGTGGGCTCTGCCTTTCCCAGAACAAAGAGCATCAGGAAGGATTTTGTTCATTTATCTCTAAACTGACACGAGTTTTTCAAATCCGGGCATTTAACCGGATGAACTACTCCCTTCAGCTACAGATTTTCCTAAGCCAACCACAAACAGTTACTTTAGAAAATAAAAGAAGCCATTTTCTCAGTGCTTTCAGCAATACCAGCTTAAACCCTAACTTTAAAAACCAGCTTTCCACCTGCCGTACTGGGTATTGGTGAAGTTACCAGTAAATCCCAGTGACCTGCCACAAGGACATGTTTAAGTTCAAGCTAATATATTTTGGAAGCCTTAACTTACTGGTTTTTTCAGTACTAAAAGGAGCGTACGACATAAGTCTCGGGACTTCAGGGAAGCTTTTCTTTTTAGGCTATTTTGTTTTCATGCTTGTATTCTTATTCCAATTTTAAGAGAACTGGCCAAGCAACCGTCAGTCACAGCCCTGGCTCAGCTGAATTCTGTGAAATTTTGGATCCACCCCCATGAAAGAGTCAGGAAATTATTCGGATGTATCACCTTGCCCCCCCCAAACCAGGCTCTGGGATATCCGGGGGCTTAGCATGGGCATCACTGTAGGACATACCGCTCATCAGAATTATGAGATAACGTTCTGAAATAAAAGATACACTAAGTAGTGTCAGGTCATACATTTGTTTACAATATATGATATTGTATATTGTTTAAATTGCACAAAATACGAAGTATATTAGTCCAACTGACTTACAGGAGAAGTCTCCAAGAGCCTTTATGGGACCAGTTTTGTTTGACAGGCACAGGAAAGGTTTTAGCATTTACACAGACAAGATTTTGAAGCCTTGGCCCCTGCTCCTACTGGTAACGCCTGTGGAGTCCTTTTAACATGCCCTGACAGCAGCATCACCCGGGGCTCTGTGCTGGAGGAGGTGGTAAAACACTCCAGCAGCCAGCAGGGTATTTTGACAACTTCTTCCTCCGGGTGCCCTGCTGGGAAGGGGAGGGCTGCAGCCAGACAGCAGAGTCTGAGCAGGGAGTCAAAGCAGGCAGCATCTCCCAGCATATCCTCAGAAAACTGATTGGAGTTTTAATTAGTTCTTACCTTCCCCTCTAATTCTTCATCCTTTTGAAGTCTCCAGTTATGTAAAGAAAGAAAAAAAGACCACTAAGCCACTGGGAGAGAGAACACAACACACACATTGTTTTATTACCTTCCCCTTGTATCTGTACTAAACCTACATTTTAATGAAATTAGGGTTAGAAGTTGCTCCTTTAGCAGCACCAATTAACTGATAGTTCATTAGGGTGTTTTCCCATCCTGCATCAGTTTAGGGGTAGGAGTGTGTGGATTAAGTACATCCTTCCTGGGCTTTCCAGGCTGTCAAGTGTCCACAATTAATAACTCCTCTAAGGCACCTCCCTGTCCGAAGCTGCTGAGAAGTGACACAGCCACAGGAATTGAAACCAAGGGCTCTACATGTCCCCTCCAGCATGATGTGACATCTTGAAAGCACCAGGGAAGGGTGAAACTCATTTCAGTCATTCCTTGAAAAGGCATACAGGCCTCGGAATCTTGCCTTTTTCAATAGCATTAAAATAACACAAGTTAAAAGAACAAGAACCAAAAAGAAGTTCTAAAACATCATCTTCAGAGCTGTAAAAAGTCAAAAAGCACTTCCTAAGAGTGTCAAACATTTGAAAGCCCTCGTTTTGGTCCCAAAGAACTTTTTATAATAGGATCCAGTTGAGGCTGCATCATCCCCTCAGACACGAGCTCCCGAGTAGATCATTTGGTCACCCTGTGGTACCCCAAGGGGGGAGGTGTTAACACCGTGCCCATAAATTGTTCTTTTAAGGAAAGCTGTCGCAGGGATTATCGCGGTGGGGTCAGTCGGAATCCTGTGGTTGGCACGGGATGGGGGCAAGGATTGTCCACCGGGGCGTAGAGGACTTAAGAACTGAGCATCTTCAGCCAACCCAATAATAGGGAGGGATGGAGCCAGAGTCACACAGATGTTGCTACTCTGAGGACCATTACTCAGTGAGCTCCTGGTGGCAGAACTGGAGCTGGAGAGGCGAGAAGGAAGATCAGGTTCTAGTAGCCAAGTCTGGCCGGGGGTAAGTCCACTTTGCTGCTCCTCCTCCTCCTCCTGGGATTTTAAGCATTTGCAGCAGCAAATTCCAACACAGGCACCGCCAACAACAAACGCCACAAACAGAGACCCCACGAGAAGGAACGGCAGGTACACGGGCACTGAAAACACAAGAGTGACGTTAGCCAAGCATTCCTCCACGGATATTCCAGGTTATATTCCCTTCTCCATTCCTGAACGTGCACCAGGGAGCAGGACAGAGCAGTTTTACTCTCAACTCTTCTCTTGCTAATCAAGGAGAAGCTGGCAATTGCTCTGACAGGCTCGTTTGAAAAAGCCTGACTGAAGTAGAGAGGGTTGGCCCAGTGGCTCCTACAGCACCTGCCATTGCTGTCCATGCAAGGGCTGTGCCAGCGCTCAAACCTCACAGCTACTCTCACTTGTGCAAGTCTAAGTAGAAATTCAGGCTTGTACCTGAGTTTTACAGCGAGTACCTGTAACTCTGGGCTGCCTGTGGAATCTGGCTTTGAGGACTAAAAAGCATTTTCACAAGAGAACTTCAGTTCTGAAGGTGTTACTTGGAGGCATCCCCATGCATTCCCAAACCAGGCTGGCAACACACACCTTCCGCCAGGGATAGAAACATCCGAGGTGCCACCACACTACTTTGTTAGTACCTTAGAGCCTATCCTAAGAGTAGGACTGATAGAAAAGTCTTTAGAGTGAAGCCCCAAGTTCTCCTCTCTTCCCAGTGAAGGGAACTGAGAGGTCGTGGCCATAACAAGCACCGTGCCCGGGCTCCACACCTTCTGCAACTCCGAAGGGCAGAGAAAAGAGGAAGGATCTGGCCAATGCCACCAAGGGAAGGCTGTTCCAGGGGACAGAAAGAAGAAAGCACATCTGCTATGTCCCCTCCCCATCTGCTGGAGGCACGGGAAGCTTACCTGGCACTGGAGGCCTGGGGCTGGGCTGCTGATAGTCACCGGGGCAGCGGCCCTGGTCCAGCCGGGCCTCTCTGGAGGAGCAGCAGTAGCGCAAGCTGCAGGTGCCGCAGCACAGAGTGGCCTCGGGGCCATCGTAGCGCTCGGGGCACTGGAAGCCGCGGTGCCAGCGCTGGAGGCCGCCGGCCCAGCCGTGACAGTACTCCCCGGCCTGCCCAGGGACGGGTGGCAGGGCCACCAGCAGCACCAGGGCACAGAGAAACCCCCGGGCCATGGGGACTCACGCAGGGGTCTCACCTCTGGCCCTCTCTGTCCCCCTTCTTTCCCCAAAGGCAAGGTCCTCACCAGCCCAGGCAGCCCCAGAGCGGTGCTCCCCACCACCAAGGCACTGCCTAAGCTACTGTTGGAGCAGGTTTTATCTCTGGGCCTGTGACCTGCCCCTAATCCCCTCTCTTCACAGCAACAAAGAAGGACCCACTAATTGGAAACCATTTGCAGCTACTCCAGCTCCACCTTCCCCCCCTTTCTCTCCCTCATTCCAGCAGGGAGCAGCCACTGGTTCCTGCTGGAGATGGCACTCAGGGTGAGGCATTCCCACTGGCAGGGATGGGTGCGGGATGCAGAAAGCCCAGGGCTGTCCTGGTACCCAACCTTCATCCCTTCAGGGACTGAAGTGTCAGAGGTGGGGGGCTGGGGACAACACATGGTGACAAGCGAGAAATCACATTTCCAGAGCAGAAAGAACATACAGGGATAACTGGCTTCTAGCAGGCTCTAAAGTGGAAGGGGTACAAGCTGGTGACAAGGTAATATTTACAGTACTTAACATGCATAATCAGTTACATAAGTACAAAGAAGAAGATGTTAATCTGAAAATGTAGGAAAAATTAATTTTGAAAGCTCTAAGTTGGTATAATTTCTGTCTCCGTGGCTGAAAATTTTAACGGGTGCTTTGCACTTTTGCTTTCCCTACACACAGTGCAATCCCTGGATTAAAAAGAGTATTTCAGGGGACAAAGGCCTATTTTAAGATCTTAGAAGTTTCACCTACACAAGAAAACCCTACAGTCTTCCAAAGACCCCCTAGCAGCACGCAGTGGCAGTGACCTCTTCATCTTTGAACTGCAAATAAAATTTGGGGTCTTTTTAGTCCCCTCACAAGCCTCCCTACCTGCTGGATTAACAGGGTCCATGGCTGAAGCCTCATCAGCCTGTGCTGAACTGCAGCGAGGAAGAAAACTGATGCTAATTGAGCACCTTGAAAAGCTGGGAATTCGGGGAGCATCTTTGGGACTGATATCCTGCACATGAGGTGGTTCCCACAGCGTTTTTTAGGATTGCATTGATTGCTGAGGGAGACTCTCCCATGATACAAACTTACGAAACATTTGCACAAAGTTATCTCCCTTCTGATGATTTTTTTGTTTTGTTTTAATATTAGATAACAGCGTGCACATTTATGCTTTATTAACTATTTTGTAGGTTGAGTTGAGTCATATTTCAATCTACCAAAGACATCAGTCACCTTTCCGTGTACCTTTTTTTAATCGGCTTTTTGGCAAACACAGTTAAAGAGATCCTTGGATTCAGAAATGTTAACTGAAATCTCTGCTTGGAACTAGAGACCTTTCCAAGTCCTGTTCAGCACAATGAGATGCATTTTCTGCTGCTGCATTTCAGCTCTGCGAGTGCAAGGTTGGCTGATGGCGTGGGACCTAATCCTATAAATCCATGGGCACGACCAAGAACGTACTGAGCAGCCCCAACACCCTTTAAAATACAGCCAGAGGTGAGGGATGTGCTGTCTTGGATTGGATTCTGAAAACACTGATGCAATACTTTAAATCCAAAGCTGTATTTTCCTTAAGGCAGATTCCAGTTTATTCACACATTCAACCTCAGCACGATTAGGCCAGGCTAAATACTAACTTTTATTATTTGTTGTTATGGGAAAAAGCAGCCTCGGACAGGTTTTAAGCATGTGCTTAGTGCTTTGTAGAGTTCATCTTAGTAAAATGGACCTCAGGAAAGATAACGGGGTGCAATTATTTCCTCCCCTCTTACATTAAAAGAGCATAAAGACACCTGCTAAGCCAGGTATTCAAATGCTAAGAAATGCACAAAGTTGCTCCTTGCATTAACACTTTGAGTGAAGACTGCCCTTACACCATCTCCTCTCTCTGCATTTATCTCTTCGCAGGGATAAACTCTTGGCAATGAAAAGCAGAGTTTTCCTACCCAGGGTCTGCCTGTGTGTTTGTGTGTGTTCCCGGGGGCATTTGTTTCCCTATTCTCAATCTCTCCTCTTCTTTTTCCTCTAGACCGTTGTGTGCTGTGATGTCCCCTTCACCGCTGCAGGAGGAAATGAATTAAATTGTGTGTAAAAATTGTATGTGCTTACATAACTTGTGACCCACTTCCAATTTTGAAAGCATAAAGAGAGCCGCGTGGATATATTGGGATGCTGGTTGGGAACTACAAGGGTAAATCATGAATAAGTTTCTATTCTAATTCCTTCTGTTCAGTCACTCTCAGCTTTCTTAGTCTTTCATGCTTGTTCTTTGCCAGCTTTGGGGAAGTTTTAAAGAAAAACAATGTAGCCCGTTTTGCATGAGAGGCCAGTGATAATGGTTTCCTATTATTAACAACAACAAACAATCTTGTTACCTTTTCTGAGTATCCCTGCAGCCAAAACAGCTTGAGCTTTGAATTTACAAGTTACCATGGAAATAGCCCTTAGAGAGAAGTCTTTTTTGTCCATGTGAGGGTTGTTGCTCTTATTTAGGGAAATGTACTTTCCCCCTCGTGAATTTTATGTTTGCAGCAAGATGATTAAAAATTCCTGTTATTCGAAGCAGAAAGCACAAACTGGAAACTTCCTGATTTGCAGCTGCTTTCCTTTCCCTGCAGTTTTCTGTTTAGTTTTCTTTCATGATGTGGTACCACAGTCTCCTTCTTGAGAAAATAGCTCTCTGTGATGTGGGCTTGTCTGGCTTCCTCTGTCCTGTAAATGCTCTGGCCAGGTTTGAGGTGAAAATGAAGAATCAACACTATTAGCATCTGTGAAAATGTCCCCTGCCTCTGCAGGAGAAAACCAGCAGACCTGTGAGCTTATTCGTTGAAAAAGGAACACAATCTCTGTATGTTTTAGATATTCCTGTTGGTGGGCTTTAGAACTCTGTGTGGGAGCTGTGTCCTGCTGATGAGTGGCGTTTCTTCATCCACAGGAGTGAGGATGAGGGTGATGGCAGAGCAGGATGGTGGGGCTTTAGGAGCAGATGAAAAGACACCACCCCTCTCTCTGATCTGTATGTACCGTTTCAACAGTGGTTGTGCACCCCTGGTACCGTCCCACCTGATCCATGGGCAATCACTTGCCTGGCCCCAAAAATCTAAACGGAGCCTGTATTTTACATTCTCGTTTTCTAGGTTGTGACTTCTTTAAAAGTAAAACCGAGAAATATTAAAACCAGTCCATATTGTTCATCCTCCTCAGCGAAGAGGATGGGACAGAGGTGGCTCACATCAGTGGACTTAGCACCATTAGTCCTTTTTTTGGGTATTATTTTTTGACCAGCGATTTCCAACAGACTTCAGTAAAAATCCAGGTCCTAAATTTTCCCTGAATTAGACTTTGGCAGCCCCTTCATTCCTGGTGATTTTCCTTCTTTCCTTCTCCCAAATACATGTCTGTTTTCTCCTTCCCGAAGGGCCAGCCTCATTTCTGCACTTTTCTACCCCATGAGGGAGGAAATTAGGTTTTCATGTGTTCCCTGCTGGGCTCTTCCCTCTCCAACGAGCCCCCTTTTGATGGCAGCAAGAAGCTGGATGCTCCAAGGGCCCTCCTCACCAAAAAAGACAAACCACCTATTACAAGGGGTTACTCAGAAGAGAATGGCAGACCTCATTGAGATGGTGAATTCCTGAGGTGTGCTTTCTGAAGGGTTGTTCAGCCTGAATGCTCTTGATTGTTCACATACAATAGGCCTGATTTTGGAGAGGGGAGGGTTCCCCCTCCCTTCCCCGGAGCCAGCAGGAGCTGCCAGAGCTCTCTCTGGGTAAGATCAGGCCCAGGCGATGCCGAACGATGGTGCCCTCGCAGATGGAGCCTGAGAATCAAACACAGCAAGGGCTGAGCCAAACTTTCCATTGCCAGCTCAAATCACAATGCTTTTGGAGTTCAAACAAGTCTATATTATTTATTTTTTTTTTAGTTAGTTGGTTAGTTGTAAGTTTTTCTTTCTTTTTTTTTTTTTTTTTTTGGGGGGTCTTTTAGCAAAATTTGCCAGTATTTTAAACGAAAAAATTCCTATTTTAAATAAAATATTTTGAAACAGGACATTTCAACACTTTTATAAATCTTCTCCTTTCCATTATATATATATTACTTCCAGTTGATTGATTCATCAAAACTATTTCTGGTGTGAGCAATTTAGTTTCAGCAAATAAACAGCTTTGGCAAAGATGCAAAATGAGAGTAATTTTCTGTTTCTAAGAATAAACTTTTCACCTCTGAGAAATGAAACTGTAAAACCTACTTGCCCGTAGGAAAACAGCAAGAAATGGGGTTGTTTCTTCAGACTTAAACATTACCTTAGAAATCTCCACGCGCTGTATGAAGTACCAACATGAACATGT